GGGGGTTAGAGGGACGGGGGGATATATTGTTTTTTAAGTGACTATAATATATTATACGAGTATCTGTCCGAATTTAATGAAATCTTCACACATTCGGGAAACTGTGCAACTCTAGACAAGTCATCGATAAATCTTTTCTTGCTTTTTGAAAAAGCTTTTTGCTGCTACAGGTTTGTGAATTGTACGTTCCAAATAGATGTTAAGTGCAAACCCCATTCAGAAGCAAGATAATTCATAACTCAAATACTCATCTTTCGAGGTAATTGTTTTAGGGCTCCAATGTAAAACAATGTGCGCTGCAATATTTTATGTACGTTATAAGTGTAATGAAGGAAAAATATCGAACTTTATAGGTAGCTGTTTTAAATTTCACTCCAACTCCCAGAGAAAACAAAAGACTGTTTCTTGCTAGTCTTTTTGTTCTTTTTTTTTTTTTTTTTTTTTTTGCAAAGTTGCCTCGGATTAAAATCTGTGCGTTAAAAAGTCTTCGTTCATCTCAACCAACCAGGAATCGGTTTGGCTAAGCCTTGTAGAACAAGCTGATCACATCCACTTATGAAGCTCTCTGCCTTTACGCTTGTCGGCGCTAGTCTATGATTATTCGTTTTCGACTCAACTGACGCGGAAGAAGAGAGTTTGTGTCTGCAAAGGACGAGCTGTCATCTCAGGGAGCCAAAATTGTGTCAGAAAATTGTTTCGCCTCCAATCATGATCAATCATAGAGCCAGCGCAAGAAATCGAAGATCACAACTTTCCCGAAAATAAATAAAGGAAAAAAATAACAGCTTCGATTAAAGATCTAGATCCGAGGTTCTTCGCATCATCTTTTCTTTTTCTCCGATTGTAAAGCTTTCGGGATAATTACTTGGTTAGAGATGATGGTACGGTAGCTTGAATACTCTCAGAGCGGTTTGTAGAGCTTTCATCTTCGTTTCTCTGAAGGATCACTCATAATACTATGATACCGTTGCTTTTCGGAATTGGAACTGATTGAACTTTGAAAAGCACCCAGAAAAAGTTTTTTTTCGTACAAGAGAGTTAGTATTTGAAATTGGAAAGTAAAAACTTTCACCCTTTGATAGTGCGTTATGTTTATTGTGGAGTACACCTTGTTGTGGTACACCTTTGATGGTCCAAAGAAATATAGCAAGGCTTCGTCCTTCCTTCTCTTTTGAAGCTGAAATGTTGATTATTCTTTGTGCTTCATATACATTTTTAAGAACAAGAATAGATTGGGGTCCCATGTAAAAGAGTTCCAAAGCTGTAAGCGTGTGTGTTGGGGGTGGGGGTGGGATTATGTTCCGAGTTGTTACACGTTAAAGCGAGTCGGTCTATGCTTTTGTGTTTCGTGTGTGTGTGTGTGTGTGTGTGTGTGTGTGTGTGTATGTG